TTACTGAGCCGTAGATAGGCTAACTTCTTTCCTTCTTCCCTTGCCTTCTCCAGTCCCAGAGAAGGCTCCAGCCAGTATTCAGTCTGGCCTCGTGGAAACAAACGCCTTGACAGCTTTTACCTCTGTGGGCTTCAACGAGGTGGGCTTCGTGGTGCAGTACCCACCTAGGAGTTGTGTAGGGCTCTGTCCAGGAGGGAAGAGGGACTGAATGCACCCTTGCCTATGATGTCCCCGTTTACAGATTTTCCTGTGTGGTGCATGTGTGGGGACATGAACGCTCATTGCTGTCACCCTGACACTGGCAAGCAGATAAAGACCGAGGGAGGCACAGACCAAAAGTTAGGTCATATATGCACCATTTTCTGACCACTTAGTGTAGACTCCAGGCTTACTTAGAATTTAAGGGCATTTTATTTTTTGTCTTTTCTTCTGCCAATCATGTTTCCTTTGCTGGCTGATGACTCAGTCATGTTTCCTGGTAGAGCTATGTAATTGAACCTGAATTATTTTTTAAGAGATTTTTTTTTTCAGTTGATTTCTTAACTTGGGGATGGTGAAGCAGACAGAGAAATCCCCAGGTTATATGTGAACAGTTTCTTCTTAGTATTATGCAGTGCTTAAAATTGTCCCCATTGAGGAAGGGGGAGAACTTTTTACAGGGTATGTAAGAACCACAAGGACGCACTTCATCTTAAAAAGCACTTGAGAATGCTTGCTCCCAAGAAAGTCAGTGTTTGTAAACGTGGCTTTGATGTTTGATTAGTACAGACCTGAGCATACCAAGGTGTCTGCCCACAGAATTTCCTTGCATCTAGCACGTAGGAATATTTCTATTCCAGTATTACCTATATGAAATCCTGTGAGACACGGGAACACTGGACTAAGAAGACGTCTAGTGTTACTGTCAAACATGAACTTTCTCAGTGAGTTTTCATGGCTTAGCCTCCTCAAAAACTTAGTACTTCTTTAACAGGGTGGGAGATGCTCTCCGGCACCCTGGGGTTGTGTCAAGTGTGTTTGTTCTTTTTTTAATTTTTTACAAATCAATTCAGATCTCTTTCTCTGGATGAAAGAGCAATTCTGTGCCTCTTTTTTTTATATATAAATGTGCAATTTATAGACAGCAGACAGACACTACAGTTTCCCTCTCTAAGCTCCTAAACTGCCTCTCCCTGGAGGTAGTGATCCTAGTTGTTCTGTGGTGAGACAAGCTCCTGTGAGGAGGGCAGGATGCTGCACGGCCCCAGTCAGATAGCTGACGTGAAGCACAGCATGCAAACACTACTCTTCAACAATTATGACATTTGATGTCCTATAAAACAATATGAATATCTGAGTTTTATCATACTAAAATATTATTTTATATAAACGTGATAAACATTTTTAAACTCACTGATAAGGGATTTTATTCCAAATGTAACTCTTTTGAGAACAGTGTCCAGTATGAAATTGTATCTTCTTTCTTTTTTGACTTTATGCTTTTTTAGTATACGATCACTTTTATATAATAAGGCCTAGGGTGCATCATGTATTTCTAAACACCTTAGGTTGACCTGTCTCTGTTCAGCTCCTTTGGGGTAGCATATTTGTTTTTCTGTCTAGAAAAGAGCTTCGCAAAGACTTCTCAAATCTTTTCTCCTTTGATGACTAATAGGATTGTTCTGCTGTTTCAGAAGGTGTGGTTCAAAGTAGTTGACCATGGCCCAGAGGCTTTCAGTGCTACAAATAGCTAGAGATGACGTCACGAAGTCGGCACAGGCCCTGTGCTTTGGAGGCCACTCCGGGCTACCAGGATGGCTGCCTGTGCCTGGCTTAGGAGGAAGGGGCCGGTGGTCTCACCGCCAGTGTATGAAGCAGTCATTCACTTCTTTAATCTCATCAGTGTTGGAGAACAGAATGGAGTGGGTTTTATCTTTACCTCTGCTCTACAAGCCCTATCCATTTTCATTCTCATAAATTATCTTCCCTAAGCTGTAGAATAGACTGAGTTTGGGAACCATGGGAACTTGGAGATTTCTGTGTGTTGTATAAATAATAATATTAATATTAATATTAATATAATATAATATATATATATCAGTGAGTTAGGAACCTATTTGAAACTAAAAAGATAATTGTGGAAGGAGGACCACAACCAGCTGCTGTCACTTCCGGGGGGGGCCCCCCCCCCAGTGTTTGCTGTAGGTGATGTGGACTAGAGACACTGAGTGTCTGTGCTCATGCAAAACACGCAGATGGGCTGACCTGGTGGCAGTTTTCCTGAAATAGTTTCTTTTCTGAGTTCTTTCTTAGTGGTAAGTTCTGTTAGACCTACAGGCTGAAATCATAATGTCATCTACTCAGAATGTAGAGCCTGGCTCCCCAGGACCAGCTGCTTGTCTGTCCTTTTGTTTTTACATAGCACGCCCCTCTTGCGGCATGCATTCATGCAAAGCTGAGATGCTTCCAGCCGCATATCACGTCCTAGTGGAGAGGGAAGCACATGGCCTTTGTGTCACAGCTCGGGAAATGTGTAGTTTTCGTGCCCCTCATGCGTCCACAGGTGCTGGGCAGTTGCTTTCTTACTGACTTGAATTATTCCCACATCGCTCTTGCACCTGACCTCCTCCTCCTCTGCTGAGCTACTGTGGGCAGCACAGGAAGTGACCAAATGGAAAGTTTTTCACAAAGGACCACCCACCCTTGGCCTCTGGTTACTTGTAAACAAAAAGTAGACCTTGGTCCATTTTCAGATGGACTAAAGGAATAAAGATAGACAGCTTTTCAGTGGATTAGCAAATATTGAAAAGTATGTACTGAAACATCACCAAGTTCTGCCTTGGGTGGAGTGCTGGGGATCTTGGAAGAAAGGGTGCACGGGAATTCATCACAGGACAGGGTGGTTCCCGTGACACTGGCACCTCTACCTTGTTGATTCAGGTTCTTCAAGCACTTGGCTCTTCAGAGTCTCACTACAATTCCTTTTTACAATCATGGCATGGAAATCACCACTCTGTGTTCTGTCAAAGTAAAGTTCTTTCCATGAGAGCACAGGTGCCGTAGATTTCCTGGCACCACTGAGGGAGACACTGCATGAGATATCAGCAGCGTCTTTAGAAATTATTTCTGTTTTTGTTTTGTCCTCTTTGTTTGTTTGCCTCATCCCCAAGTGTCACTTCTTTAACATATGCCGGGGGGGGGGGGGCGTTTGCATTTATGTTACACTCCTGAAATGCTGTGTAACCCTTGTTTCAAAAAACCATTTCTGCCGGGCATGGTTGTGCATACCTTTAATCCCAGCACTCCAGAAGCAGAGGCAGGGGTGTATCTATTAGTTCAAGAACTACATAATGAGTTCCAGGACAGCTAGGACTATGTAGAGACCCTGTCTCAAAAAGAAAAAAAAAAGAAAAAAGAAAAAGAAAAAAAATATATTGTTTGGCTTTTGTCTAGCCATTGCAAAAATGGCAGATGTGAGCACTTGTACCTGTGTGGGGGAGGGGGGGAAAGTATTGCTTGTCCTTTAGTAGGCTCTGAAAGTCATTACATGTAAGTTAAAGGGAAAATAGAAGTTGCCAAAGTCAGTATTCAGTCCTTGGTTTTCTTGTGACTTTGCTAGTCTGCTGAGGGATGAGAAGCACTCCCAGCTTCCTCTGTCTTTCCCCTGCCTGCTGACAGAGCCTCAGTGTGTGCAAATGGCTTTCAAGGATCTGCCAGTTTGCCTGGATAGGGATTCCTGTCAGTTAAAAGGAATGGGAAAATTTTACACTTACTTTTATTGTCAATTAACATCTCATTTTTTGTTCTGTGCCCTATGATAACTATACTGCCAATAATAACCAAGATGCTAACTGATTACAACTGGCTAAAAAGATCTTTTTATATACAAAGATTTGTATATATTTTGAATTGATATGGCATTCATTTGTGTCCATTTGAATATTATACAATAAACAATTACCTGCAGATTCTGTCTTTATTCTTTGTGTTCTTTGAATAGTGTTCTTTACAGATTGTTTACATCTGTACTTACTGTAATGAACTTTGTAGATCCTGTGAAATATTATTTTGCTTAAACCACTTGAGTCCTTAATATCCAAGCATCAACCTTCACTGGTCAGTCTCAGTTTCTGTGACTTGGCCAGGAGCTCCGAACACTAAGGGATTAGTGCTAAGTTTCCCTGGGGGTATTCTTCTAGGGCATTACTGTATAATGACTTCGAAACATACTTTAAGGATTTTGTTGATTCAATGTCTTATTGCAAAGTATGAGCCTACCAGTCTTGGTTAACCTGTGTATAGACAGCTAACTAACTGGCGTGTGTGTAGGACTGCCTGTAATATTTAAACTTCTTACTGATGTGTGCTGGTAGGACAGTTTTGGTACATTGTATTTACTGAAATTTTGCCTTTTTAATTTTACAGATACTTTAGAATTCAGATGTGTTTTCGGCTTCTGTAAGAATGTGGAAACGTTTTTAATGGCATTCCATTGGTTTCAGGTCTTGCTCGAGGTTGACTTTAATAAACTGTCCTCTATGTTCTAATTAAGTATATGGGCCTGTTCTTTGCCTGTGATTTCTTGATACAATTTACTGGGAAATGAAAGACACCAAAAAGAAAGAAAATCCACCCAGTCAGCCTGGTTTTCCCCATTAAAATGCTGCTAAGAAATGGTTTCTTCAAAGTGAGTTTTCTGTTTTGCTTTTGTAGAGGAAGGATGTCTCGAGGATGGGCAGTGTTCTTTTCAGTGTCCTGTAAGGTGATCTGGGCACCAGGTGCTTGGTGAACGGCACTGTGATCCCATTGCTTTGAGACCCAGAGGTGGCCTTCTGGTTGGACAATAGCCAGGCCACTCCGCGGATCAGCCAGAAGACAGTGCTTTGTTGCTTTTGCTAGGTGGTACTCCGAACAAAACAAATGAACCCTGAAAGGTCTTCTTCCCGGAAGCGCCCGGTTTGTTGCAGGTCGGAGGCCCCGCTGGTAGTGTCCCCTCGGAGCTCGCCAGGTGGCGCTGAGCCCTGGGCTGAACCACTGTGGGGACGGAGCCACGTCAGCACCCGGTCCCCGCCAGGCCGTGCTGCGGAATGGGGACGGCAACGGCCTTGGGAGCAGAGCTGGGAGCAGAGCTGGCCGTGCGTGTCCTGCTCTTTGTGGCCTTCCTGTAAGGATTTGTCAGAGCACTCCCAGGTCTTCAGAAGTTGCCCCGGTTATTCCGCTGAAGGAGCCTATCAATCTTTGCCTTTTTCTTTCTCAGGGTGACCGAGCTACTCCCTCCCTTCCACCGGCGGATCCAGCCCGAGGAGTTGTGGCTCTACCGGAACCCGTACGTGGAGGCGGAATACTTCCCCACAGGCCCCATGTTTGTGCGTGAGCCGCCCTCCCGCCCCGCGGGGACCCCTCCCGGCCCTGTGCTCTTGGTTCCCGAAGATCCAGGTCTAGAGCTTGGCGTCTGGGTGGGCTCTCTGTGCCCGTCCTTAGTGCGAGCCAACTGTGGTTTTCCCTGCCATGTGTTCTCGTTCAGACCATTGCATTTCTCACTCCATTGTCCCTGATCTTCCTGGTCAAGTTTCTGAAGAAAGCTGACACCACCGACAGCAAGCAAGCCTGCCTCGGTAAGTAGCCCTTCCGCTTTTTCTAGTGCTAGCAAGTAGCTGTGGGGTGCAGCCACTGGAGCCTTGTGTGACCGGCACGAAACTGTGTACCCCCTAAAGTATGTCCTCTTACCCAACTTGTTACCTGTGAGAACTCGGTTAATATAGGCACCACTGCTGTCTTTTCGGTGCCCGGGGACCGTTTACGGAAGTTTTCTAGGCACGAGGGCCACAGCTGTTTTTGTACTTGGTTCTGGGAACCAAGGGGGTTCTTTTAATGTGGCGCAGTCGCTTGTCCCCAGGCAGACAGCACTAACCATTTCTTTCCCTTCCAGCTGCTAGCCTTGCCCTAGCTCTGAATGGTGTCTTTACCAACACAATAAAACTGATAGTGGGGAGGTAAGTGAGAACCCTCGGCATTCAACCTCCCGCAGCCTCCATCATCTCAAGTATCTTTTCCCTTTATTCTCAGACTAATCTTTCTTTTCTCACCTAGAACGCTCCCCCTGCCCTCTGCCTGTCCTACATGGGACGCCTGGCCTGTGTCCTGTCCTAACTTTCCTACCACAGGGCACCCTCCAGCCTACAGAAGTACTTCAGAGTTAGCTACTCTTTTTTTAAAAAAAAAAAAAAATTATTATGTATACAGTATTTTGTCTGCATGCCAGAAGAGGGAACCTGATCAACTTATAGATGGTTGTGAGTCACCATGTGGTTGCTGGGAATTGAACTCAGGACCTCTGGAAGAGCATTCAGTGTTTAAACCTCTGAGCCCTCTCTCCACCCTGAGCTAGCTACTCTTGTGCTGAGATGTAATCACGCTAGACTTTCCCCTTAAACGTTGCCCACGTGACTAAAGCTTTTTTCCCAGTGTAAGGACTGTCCTAGTCCAGTTACATTATTTTGTCAGGACATGACTAGTAGTTAACAGAATTACTGACATCTACTATACCCGAAGCATGCTCTCTGGAAGAGGAAATTCTACGAACTGACGCTATGCTTCTTTCTTCCAGGCCACGCCCAGATTTCTTCTACCGGTGCTTCCCCGATGGGCTGGCCCATTCTGACCTGGCCTGCACAGGGGACGAGGATGTGGTAAATGAGGGCCGGAAGAGCTTCCCCAGTGGACACTCTTCCTGTATGACCCTCAGATGAACTATGGCAATACTTTTTATTTATGTATATACATGTTTTGCTTATATGTGCGTGCACATACTATAGAGGCCAGATGTTAGGTCCCCTGGAACTGGAGTGACAGTTGCCATGTGAATGCTAGGAACCGAACCTAGGTCCTCTCAAAAGCAGCTAAGCACTCTTAATTGCTGCTGAGGCAACTCTCCAGCTCCAATATGTACTTCTAAAAATTATTACATTTAACCAATGAAGCCTTGCTGGAATGAGCTGTCTCTTACTAGTCATAAAACGTCTTTATTCAGGGCAGGAGGTGGTGGTGCATGCCTTTTATTCCAGCACTTGGGAGGCCGAGGCAGGCATATCTTTGTGAGTTTGAGACTAGCCTGGTCTGTAGAGCGAGTTCCGGAACAGAATATTAATGCTAGACAGAGAAACCCTGTCTTGAAAAACAAGAACCCCATCTTTATCCAAGAGTTACTGCATGCCAGGGGCTTCTGAGCATTTTAGGTTCTTGCCTGTGTAGCTCCCGAGAACCAGTAAGGTATTCTGTTACTTTTTTGGATTCCCACTTAGTTGAGGAGTCTACATAAACACTGTCCACAGTAATAACTTGTATTGTGGAAGCTATTCTGAAAACATTGAGACGTCAAGAGGAGTTCAGCCTGCTCTTGTTCCCCACCCTCCTGTCTGGACATGAGTGATGGGCTCCCACTGAATGCACACATGACTCATCGGTCTTCCCTGTTCTAGTTGCATTTGCTGGTCTGGCCTTTGCTTCCTTCTACCTGGCAGGGAAGCTACACTGCTTTACACCAGAAGGTCGAGGGAAGTCCTGGAGGCTCTGCGCCTTCCTTTCGCCTCTACTCCTCGCAGCTGTGATTGCGCTGTCCCGCACGTGTGACTACAAGCACCACTGGCAAGGTAAGCAGTCGTACACCTCAGGAGTTTCTGCTCCACTGGTTTTAACCCTGGAAACTGGCACAGAGGAATGGCTTCCTAGTATCTGCTGAATAAATGAGCGAATGAGTAAGTGTAGGCAGCCTGGGCTCTGTGCCTTGTCTCAGAGGGACCAAAGTTAACTTTGGGGCCAGCAAGATGGCTCAGAGAGAGGTAAAGATACGTGTACAAGCTTGGCAACCTATGTGTGGTCCCTGGACACATGTAAAGATGGACGGAAGGAAGGAACGGATTCCGGAGTTATCCTCCTACCTCCACACGAATCCCCATGCACACGCACACACAAAATTCTTTGCAATTAACTTGTGTATGGTATATGTGTATGTGCAGGTCTTGTACCCTGGTCATGTGGAGAGCTGATAACCAGCAAGCACCAGTAATCCTCTCTGCCCTTACAAGTGCATGAACGGCCACTCTCAGCTTTTCATGTGGGCACTGGGGATTTGAACTCAAGTCCTCTTGTTTATGGAAGAAAATGCTCTTACCTGCTGAGCCAGCTCCCACCTCTAATCCCAGCTCCTGTGAAACAATGTAGCCCTGGATGGCCCTAAAACTTGTTCTGTCGACCAGGCTGGCCTCAAACTCAAGAGATACAGCTAGTGTACATCAGCGTGGCCAGCCCCCTTAATTTTTAGGGTCTCCCTCTCTAGCTCAAGCCTCAGTCTCCCAAGTGTTGGAATCATAATTGTGTGCCACCATTCCTGACCATTCTTGAAACAATGAAAACCAGTCAATGATTTAGATTCACACGAACATTTGTTACTCTTCTGTTGTAAAAATAAATAAATAAAAATTCTAACTTGGGCTAGAGAGATGGCTCAGTGGTTAAGATCACTGACTGCTCTTTCAGAGGACCTGGGTTTAATTCCCAGCACCCACATGGCAGCTTATAACTGTCTGTTACTCCAGTTCCAGGGGCTCTGACACCCTCACATGGAATATATACAGGAAAAATACCAGTGAACATTAAATAAATATTTTATAAAAAATTCTAACTCGCTGGGCGGTTAATCCCAGCACTCAGGAGGCAGAGGCAGGAAGACCTCTGTGAGTTTAAGGCCAGCCTGATCTACAAAGCGAGTTCCAGGGTAGCTCAAGCAGTTACACAGAGAAACCATCTCGGTAGGAAAAAAATTCAAACTCAGTCCCTATTCTGATTTGGTGTTTAGAGAAAAATCTGACTAATAGTGATCTTGTAACTGTATGATGAAATTAAGACACTCTAAAGAATCTGTAACATGGGTTGATGACTTTTTAGCCTCTACAAGCAGGGTGACCTGGGGTGCCGAGGTCACTCTATAGCTGTGTAGTGTCTAACATGGTTTTTAAAAAGACCTATTTCTCTCTTCAGACGTACTAGTTGGGTCCATGATTGGAATAACATTTGCCTACCTCTGCTACAGACAGTACTATCCTTCTCTGACTGATGTAGAATGCCACAAACCATTTCAGGACAAGCACAAACTCCCCTCTTCACAGAAGAAGCCCAGTGACTCTCACCGCCTGGATATCTAGCTGAACCTACTACCTCAGTGGAGAGCAAACAAATCAGTTCTCCTACCAAGCCAAGAATTTCTGGCTCTTACCTCTTCCAAGGTAAAAGTGAGGGCATGGCCACACGGTATACCTGCTTCCACAGGACTGTGCACTTTGCCCCACTTCCAAGGCTAGACCCTAAGGATTCCCTGCCTGGCGCCTGTTCTGGCAAGGGGCTTTTTCAGGAGTTCTCTCTCTCTGGGTTAATGAAGCTGGGCCATAAGATTGGTGTTCCAAGATCTAGGGTCTTTACATTTATGTAACTGTCACTCAAGAGAGCTTTTTACAAAGGAGACTTTATTGCCAAACTTAATCTCTGTCCCTTATAAATAAGGGCAGTGCCAGTTAAACATGTTTACTTTTTTGTGGTCACAATCCATTAAGCCTTAAATAATAAAACCGCCAATTTTAGCCAGTTTTTACTTCATCAGGAAAGAAACTTTACATGTGTTATCTGGAAGATAAATGCATCTTTCTCTGCCTTTTGTTCAAAAGAAATACATGAAACAACTATAGGCTAGCATCACTGAGGACCACCTAATAGCTACCTTTTTTGTTATATTTTAAATAAAATTTTGTCTTATGTATATCTTCCTACAGCATATTCTTTTTGTTTGTTTGTTTTTTGAGACAGGGTTTCTCTTTGTAGCTCTGGCTGTCCTGGAACTCACTTTGTAGATCAGGCTGGTCTTGAACTCAGAGATCTGCCTTCCCGTCTCCTGAGTGCTGACCTAAAGGAGTTTGTCAACGCGGACAGCCGTTAACATACTCTTAAATATATTTTCAGTGCATTTTTTTCCCCTCAGGAAATCTGACAATGAAACAGAAGTGTGCTTGGGTTTTCGTACTGAAGGACTATTCAGGATCTAGGAGATCAACACTGGACTCTGATCTGTGTGACTAACTGTAGTGTCTGTTTTCAAACTAGTATGTATAGATCCTAAAGGACAGGCTGTTTTCTGTATTTACAGACACGCTTATATTTGCTACACCTTAAATTCGGAGCTGTATCTCTCCATGACAATGAAAACATTAGTCAAGGAAAAATAACTTACATATTAGCTACTTGCCTAAAATGTTTGTATGGACTTTAACATAAGAAAAGAGAAAATAATGGGTGGTGGTGGTGCACGCCTTTGATTCCAGCACTCGGAGGCAGAGGTAGGCGGATCTCAGTGAGTTTGAGGCCAGCCTGGTTGAGTTCCAGGACAGCCAGGGCTGTTACAGAGTAACCCAAAAGAAATAAAAAAGAGAAAATGGCTACTTTATTGATTTTTTTTTTCTTGATAGATAAGGCCACATGAAAGTAAGTAACTGGTCAATCAGTTTTATTTCAGCATTTACTAAAGTCTTAAATATAATCACATATAAAACAAACATTTCAAAAGTGCAAAATATCAGAAAGGTGATCAGTGCTATTTGTCATCTTCCCTTGAAACGGTCTAACTCTGCAGCCAGGAATCTGGACAAAATGCTGTTACACTAGCGTTTACAACAGCCTTGGTCAGCAGACTGTACATGACACAAATGATGCAGGGCAAATGCCGTGTAACTAAACTCAGGCTCCTTGCCTCTTTCCTCACTTGTACAGCACACAGAGTAGTACCACAAGTGGATGGTGAGGGTCAAGCTCTTTAGTTACTGTACGCCAGGACTGCCAGGGAGAAGCATGGCATAGCACAGTGGTTTATCTAGCTCTCCAGGGCCACGCTGCCCATCTTTGGTTACAAGAAGTCATTCTTGGTTGTACTTTGGTTTACTCTTAAGTAGTAACAATTCTGCTAACAAGAGTAAACAAATCTGAAGATGGCAATTTGACAAAAACCCTTTAGTATTTAATTAATACTACTTAATTCTCAATAATTCCTATTCAAGAGATACTGTAAAAAAAAAAATATAAGCCAGGCAAATGGTAGTGCTTTAATCCTAGCACTAAAGAGGCCCAGGCAGGTAGATCTCTGTGGGTTCGAGGCCAGCCTGGCCTACAAAGCAAGTTCCAGAACAGCCAGGACTATTTTACAGAGAAACCCTGTCTCAAAAAAAAAAAAAAGTATTCCATATACCTGGCACTTCTCAGTAGTTTGCTTATCCAGCATTATCCATAAGCAGAAGGCTAGGCTTGACTGTATCCATTACATGTATCCTCTGTAACCTCCAGGGCACAGTGATTAACTCCTTTCTGTTCTGTATCTAAAGGGTACAGACTGCTGCTAAGGGGCAGCTTCTGTGAGTATTAAATACAGAAGATTCTGGATGCCATGATAGGGCTACAAAAAAAAAAAAAAGACAAAAATCAAAACATAGCTTACCTCCCCTGCCACTCTCTAAGAAACGTGTGGAGATCTGAGGAGCATAAAGGACTATCAGAGAAGGAAGAGCACGCACATGCTGAAGAAGGAGGAAAACCTAAAGCCGAGCAGATACCTTGGGAAAAGCTTAGCGTGCAATCATTCTTGTTCCTCAAGATAACGCTACCTCAGTTTCTCCAGATTCAGCTACAGGTGCACACAGCTGCTCCTCAGACTCTGTATAATAGGTTTCTTTCAGAATATGGTCTTTCCCCTGGCTAACCTGCATGCTCAACTAATACTGACTGCCAAATCTAAGTAAACATTTTGATGATACCTTGGAAGGCAAGGATGTTCCATCACAATACTTCTTTACTCAACTGGAAATAGCAGGTGACTTAAGTTGGTGCTACTACAAGATCACATCTACAACATGAACAGTTGAGATGGGCCATGTAATTGACCAAGTCTTACAACTTCACCTTCAAGGTAAGTATTATCAAAGAACTTCTCAAAGCTAACCCCCGTTTGGAATATGGTGTAAAAGGGCAGGTACACAATCCACACTACCTTCACATTTACAGAAGCTGAAGCAGTTGTAAAATCAGAACAGCACCAGTGATTCCTACAATAAGCCTAGCTGATAGTGTTCAGAGCAAACTATATTTTCAGTAAGCTACAGTCATATCTTCATATACTACACACAGAAAAGAAAAGCTGGCTTTAAAAAATAGCAATTATTTCCATATCCATTTATGCTTAGCCTTCCTTCCAGTGCAAAGAACACACACACAAAATGACTGGACCCCAAGTACCTTTAAATCTTAAGAATATGCTCCCAAACTGGTCCATTTTCTAAAGATAAAGAGTAAACCTCTCAAATTTTTCTAGGCCCCTAAACAGACTGTATTTCTTTCCATGTAATAAATAAGGAAGTGCTGCTGTTAAAGTATTAAAAGATGTAAATGCCTTAGCTACAAAGACTAGTGAGTGTTTTTACAAAGCAGTAAGTCTTCCTTTTGCTCTCCACTAATTTCTGAAAAGGATTATCTTCTAAAGGTCCTGTGGAGTAAGAGGCAGGCAACATGCAGGACATGATGGCGTAGCTGCAAAGAAACCTGCAGCAGCAAGCACGTAGATTTTCAGCAAAGGCTCCCTCAGTGTCCATCTATAGGAGAGAGTGGGGGAAGAGATCACCATGTAGTTCAACCTGAAGGTAATCAGCGCCGCAGAGAATGCCTCTGACTAGTACAGGCTTTTCAGGATCCCAAGCACAAGATAAAATATACGCTAATCCCTAAGGATCGACTGGATGCTTCCTATGAGTTTAACCAGTCCTTGAAGTGAGTATTCTCCTAGATTATGGGGATGTATATACATCTGGGTAAGAGCTTGAGGCTCCAAGGGTCACATGTAAACATTACACTGCATTGAAAACTAACATTAGCTGGGCGGTGGTGGCGCATGCCTTTAATCCCAGCACTTGGGAGGCAGAGGCAGGTGGATCTCTGTGAGTTCGAGGTCAGCCTGGTCTACAAGAGCTAGGTCCAGGACAGGCTCCAAAGCTACAGAGAAACCCTGTCTCGAAAAACAAAGAAAGAGAGAGAGGGAGGGAGGGAGGGAGAGAGAGAGAGAGAGAAAGAAGAAAGAAAGAAAGAAAGAAAGAAAGAAAGAAAGAAAGAAAGAAAG